TTGGACTAGTATCCCAAAGGCCGCAGGTTCGATTCCCACCGTGCCCAAACTAACTTCTCAGCTTGCCCGGTGTGGATGCACACTCAGAGTAACATCACAAACATCAATCAATAATTTGCTGCTGTTATATATCAACCTTATATATTTTTTTCTTACTAGGGATTCTCATTAATATATGGATTTAACAAAAGCTTCCCAGGAGAAGGCAAGTTGTCAAAACAAGTGCTATTATATGTAATCATTAATGGCATTCTAAGAACTTCATGGTCTATTTGGAAAATGTTATTCTTTTGCTGGAGAGCATTTTTGTTAATTACCAAACCATGCAAGGGATGGAGTTGCCGACTTGTGGTATACAGCTTGTTTTGTACCAAATTTTTACTAATGGACTTGCTTGACATGTTTGATTGAGAAGTGACACTACATACATTTAATACATGCAGTATATTTTACTTGTAAAGATTCTACATTGAACAGAATATTAACCCTTTAAGTGGCAATTTGCTTTACTTTTTTATTTTTCTGTCTAATGTGGTCAGACAATTTTTGCTCATTAAGGAGAGAGTGCTGCCACTTAATGGGTTAAAGCTTTTCTGTAAATGTAAATTTTTTTAACGATAACTATGTAATAGCCGGTACTGTGCTTGGAATGGAACCTGCTGCTCTACAGGTGATTCTGATCAGCTTTTTAACCGTCAAAGTTCCTGAAGCCCTAAGAGTCCATCGCCCTGACAGTCAATCAAGCTCTACTGTAACCAAGAGTTCATGTATATAATACTAGTGTCATCCTGGGCAGTTTATTTAATACACTACCAATGACACCACCATGCATGGTATACATACAGCAACTTGTGGTTACCTCTTGGCAAAAGGGCCCTTTAGGTCAGAAGGCTGCGGTAGAATTGCAGGGCTGCAGGTTCAATTCATGCTGACAGGCTTGTAATTGTATTGCACATGTATTCATGATATCATTCTAATCATGTATTCATGATATCATTCTAATCAATTTAGAACTTCATTAAAATATTATAGGGCGTAAGAGTATATCATTATATTACGCTACAGTAAATTGTATTTCCTGCTATAATATACCTTACTTGTAGGGATAATAAATTATTTTGACTCGAAAAATGTCTTTATTGATTTCTAAAGTTAGTTAAAGACTTTTCTTTACTCCGATATATAGAAGTCATTTTGTCTCCAAAGGAGTCGAATTGACTCCAAAAGTGGAGTAAATAAAAAAGGTACAGAACGACTCCTTTTTTGGAGTAAATTTTACTCCTTTATTTACTCCATTTTTGGTGTAAATTTTACTCCTTAAGTAGAGTTGTTTTTACTCTTTGAGGAGTATTTCCCAACATATATATGTTAGGTATGTTATTATACGTAATATAAGCCCCGATTTAAGGTAAAATTCAACCACAAACGCTTCGCAAAGCGTTTTAAAGTCATTAGTGTTCTTTAATATAAAACTAAACTGCCTTTTAAAATGGCTTTATCGATAAACGTTGAGTTTGCAATAAAATGATTTAAAATTCTCGCTTGCAAATAACTTTGCTTTCTTATTTATTTATTTAAAAAAAATCAATATTATAAAAAAGGGAATCAGTATTAAAGATACACTGAAATTATATGCTGCCTTGTTTAGTTGTTTCATATACGCAAAGGCCGTCGGGTTTTAAATCCATTATAAAATCAATATTTAAAACAAACTTACCTTCATTAACGTCGGCTCCCTTCTTTTAGCCGATTCTTTCGCAGTTCCTTTCTCAGAGGGTCTCAGAGAGCTTTTGAAATTTACAAAATCTTGCAAAAATGCGAGGAAAAATGAAATCTATTTGCAAGAAATTTATCAATCATCAAATCAACTCAAGAAATGTTTGCTATTTCGCTGTCGTCATGCAGTCGTTATAATGCAAACTTTAAATTGGAGCAATCAGTGTCCGCTATCGTGACAGTCCGCCATATTTTTGAGATCAGTGAGGATGACCACCCACCCAACACCGTTGGTGACCCACGCCCTCGATATTTGATGATCTTTAGACTCCGCTAATGCTTTCGTTTCCCCGGGTGTAAATAGCCGGGGGGAATTAGTACCCTCGCACGGCGCTTTGCGCCGTCGGCTCGGGGACAAGCGTACTATTAATGCTACTCCGAAGTACTTAAACAGACTATTAAATTTAAATAGCCAACAACATTTGAGGAACACTCGCAGTGCTGATTTAAGTTCAGTAACTCCGAAATACAATAGAGCTACTGAAGCAGGTAGAACTTTTTCTATAACCGCTATAGGCCTCTGGAACAAATTACCTTTAAGTTTCCGTTCTGCTAGGTCCATTAACTGTTTTAAATACTTATTATATAATTGCTTTCGTACGCACCAGAGTGAATTTAAACAATTTACTTCTTTTCCTGATTTCAAATTTAAGTATATATAATTGTAATATAGCTAATGTTCTCTTTTATATAAATGTAATGTCATATATAGCTCATGTAATATATAACCTTTTCAATTAAATTAAGTAAAATTGAAAGTCCACTGAGTATTGATTTATAATCATATATATATATATATATATATATATATATATATATATATATATATATATATATATATATATATATATATATATATATATATATACATAATTATATATATATTCACTTTATTGCAATTTAATTGACCATTTGCGTAATAGACTAAATTTTGAACTAGACAAAAATTTCACCACAGCTTTAGGCCCCGATTACACTATACCGGATTGCATCGAAGCGACGCGATTTCTGTACCGGATTGGCCTCTTGTTTACACTACGCCACTGTAATCCGGTACGTGCCGCGGCGCGAAAATCACTTCGCTTTGGAGGTGATATGAAAAGTAATCCAGTACGTGCTGTACCGGATAAAACCAAGTGTAATCAGGCAATCCGGTACGCTCCGGAACTATAAATAGGTTTTGGCAAGTATATTTTAACATTGTCGTTTTATTTACTCGCTTTTAAATATTTTATAGCTGTTGTTTGCTTCGCTTTACAATTATTTATTATTTCTAGCGAAGACAAATAAAGATAGTGGTAATAACATTGACTTCTTGCTTTCAAAAGGGCAAAATTTAATGAAATACTCGTCAATTTTCGATAAGAGCGAGACAAAGCAACGTCGGGTGGTCAAGCTTTGTAAACAAAGTTATAATTCACAAGTACTGTCGAGAAAACGTCCAAAATGGTCAAAACTTATTATTTGTTTCCGTGGCAACGATAAAAGATACGAGCTGGCGACAGAGCGAAGCGGCATAGTGTAAACACCCTTGATTTTGGCTTCGGTGTGAAAATTGATCCGGTATGAAAATCAATCCGGTATAGTGTAATCCCAGCCTTGGTTTTATCCGGTACAGCACGCACCGGATTACTTTTCATATCACCTCCAAAGCGAAGTGATTTTCGCACCGCGGCACGTACCGGATTACAGTGGCGTAGTGTAAACAAGAGGCCAATCCGGTACAGAAATCGCGTCGCTTCGATGCAATCCGGTATAGTGTAATCGGGGCCCCAATCTCCGAATGGTATATATATTTTGAATATTTATACGGAATATTTAACCGTTATAATATTTAATAACGAAATAATTAAAAAAATATTAGCAGTATAGTCAGTATATGTAAAAAATATCTATAAAGGACTAACTTGTTAATAGAATGCATTTGTTGTGTTTCTGAGTTTAGTTCATGCGATTGCTTTACGTTTTCGTCGTACTTGAACGGTCGTCAGTACTGGCACTGACTACATATGACATAAATAACTACAAGGCTAGCCACTTATCTGATATATTTCCCTCCGACATCGATTCCAATATCTCGCCTCATGCAGAATCGTTGCAGAGCAATAAATTTCACATCGCCTAATAGTACGAGCGTTCTTCGTTCGAAAGAACTTGGTTTGTTCACCATTGCAGCAATTCTCGTGACACAAGACGAACTTTGTTTGTTCAAATTCCAAAATTCCATTTTCGAAAGACTAAAGTAGTGATGGGCGATACCGTGTACTTGGTATTCGATACCAGCGATACCACAAATAGCGGTATCGGTATCGATTACTGACGTGGTATCGTTCGATACTTGCACCCTTTTATAAACGACTTGTTTGATTTCACTTCTTGGTTGAATAAGACTTAATGAACCACTAAAATAAGTCTTAATCAGCGCTTCCACCTTGAAGGAAATTTCCTTTTGAAAGGAAATTTTTGCAAAATGAAGGAAATTTGAAGGAAATAAATTTTGAGGGAAATGTGAAGGAAATTCTAGAAGAACGAAGGAAATTTGAAGGAAAAAGCAAAATTTCGCCAAAATTGGTAATATTTAATATATTTTGAAAATAAAGCGTAAAATAAGCCTCAATCTGGCCACAATTTAACAGAGAGTAGAAAATGAGAATTTATATTTCATTATTCAATTTTGTCTCCCTGAATGACGTCATTCTGTTTATAGTTTTTAGTTATCTCCAGGGGGCGTTGGAAACTTTTTTAGTTGGGGTGGGCTTAAATGTCTTTGGGCTCTTCACTTTTTAACAATGGTCAGTAATAAACAAAGATATTATTTTTATATTATTTCAGTTATGCATGTAGACAAAACAACTTGAGATATTTTATGACATTTTGTTACCTTTAGAACTCTGTAAATCTCCTTCTAAAATGCAAGAAATGGCATTTCAGACTCTAGTTTAAAATTTTCCCGTAGGGCATGCCCCCGGATGTCACCTGCCATCACCCCCCTTTGCAGGGCTCTCACTTCCAGCTACAGTCATTTCCTTAAATTTACACTGAAATTTCCTTAGAATTGAAAAAAAAATCCTTAAAACCGGAAGTGGCAATAAAATTGGCGGGAAATCACAAAATATTGTTGTTTTCGATTTAGAAGTTTTTAGAAATATAAAAAGGCAGTTGAAAATTCTATTTAACCTAAAAATAAAACAATGTAGCCGAAATGTAATTAGTGAGTAGTGACAATGGATGAATCTTCGTCTGAGGATGAGGATCGAGGTCCTCCAAGAAAGCTTTTAAAGCCGAAAAGCAAAAAGTACAAGCAAAACTTTCGTCAAGAATGGATGAAAGATCCGTCTTTTCAGCAATGGCTTCTTCCTCTTAAACATCATGAAAGCGAACCATCGTGCAAAGTGTGCTCGAAGAAATTAACTTGTTCAAAAACTGCTTTGCAGCGACATGGAGAGTCAATCCATCACAAGCAAGCTTATGCAAATGCATCCAGACAGGTTAGCATTTACACCAGCCTTCAAAACCAAGACAGCGCGAACGTATATAAGGAGATCACAACGGCTCAAGTAGCAGCTTTTATTGCCGCACACAACCTTCCCCTTAGACTGGCGCCGTTTCTGTTAGATTTGATAAAAGCAAGGTGTCCTAAAAATAGTCAAGAAACAAACTGTCTTCGAAAGATTGAGATTGGTGCCACAAAATGCACAAATGTGATTCGTCAAGGTATCGGACTGCATTATGCACAAGAGTTGATCGATATCTTGCGCCGCATGAGATACAGTATAATTCCAGATGAGACGACGGATGTTTCCTCAGAAAAGCAGTTGGCAGTATGTGTAATGTACGTTGACGAAACCGATTTGTTACCAGTAACTAGATTTTTGGATATTGTGGAGGTTGATAACTCTGGAGCAAATGGGTTATACCAAGCGATAAGAGCGATTTTTCAGGAAAAATTTATTCCTCTTTCCAATATAATTGGTTACTCGTCTGATACTTGTAATGTGATGTTTGGAGAAAATCTTAGTGTGTCCACTCTCCTGAAAAAAGACTTTCCACATGTTACTGCTGTGAAATGTAGTTGCCATCTTATTCATTTGTGTGCTTCTCATGCCTGCTTAAAACTTTCGAAATCACTGGAAGATTTGTGTAGAAATATCTATTCGCACTTTAGTCGATCATCACTCCGTCAAAAGGATTTTAAGCAGTTTCAAGAGTTTGTGGAAGCGCAACCCCACAAGATGCTGAAACTTTCCCAGACAAGATGGTTGTCTCTGGAGAGTTGCGTTAATAGAATTCTGGAGCAATGGGAAGCTCTCCGTCTCTATTTTATTGCGTTTGTGGCTGATGGCAAAGATCCGTCTTATACAACTGATAGCATTTTGAATGCCTTGAATAACAAGTTCGTGCTAGCGCAGTTAGAATTCTTAAGTGCCCAGTTGAAACGTCTCAACGAATTTAACACCATGTTCCAGTCGACTGAACCGTTGTTACATTACCTCAGAGAGGAAGTCACAAAGCTCCTGAAAGATATTCTTAGTGATTTTATTTCAATGGACGTAGTCAGGAAAGAGGATCCTTTCACTATCGACCTGGATTGCATGAATATCAGATTGCCTTTGGATAAAGTGTATATGGGAATCTTGGCTACAAATACCTTGTTTGAACTGAAAGATGATCCGAATGTACAGACAGTAAAGAAAGCTTGCGTAGAATTCCTTGTTGAACTAGTCAAACAAATAAGATCGCGTTTTGACATGAAAGATCCAATTTTCAAGTTGGTAGAATTTCTTATTCCAAGCAATGCCGTTAAGTGTGTACCACCTTCGCTCAATGAACTGTTCCTGACTCTACCATACTTAGCTGAAGTAGCGGACGTTACCCGTGCTGACCAGGAGTGGAGAAAACAGGCTCTGGAAGAGCCAGAAGAAGTTGCCCCCGAAGAGACGTCAACTGTTTTTTTGCAAAAAAGGTTGAATGCCAAAACTCTCAATGGAACTCTTAAATATCCAAACCTCAAAAAAGTTGTTGCCTGCGTAATGTCCCTGCCATGTTCGAATGCTTCAGTTGAACGAGTTTTTAGTCTGCTGAAGCTGATTAAAACAGATTTCAGGAACGCACTGAAGAGAGAGACACTTGTAGGTCTTATGCATGCTCATGTGGGCATGAAAGCCAATGATGTGCATGCACATCAATTGGAGCTTAATGCAGAGTTTGTTCGTGTGCTCAAATCTGTCAAGAGCAATGCTACTGACAGTGAGGCTGGTGAACTTATTCGTGAACGTTTCAAGAAAGTCTGATATAGTACGTGCGGGTTATCAAATAGGTTGCAAGTAAGACATAGCAGTGATAACTTAACAACAGTTTGTAGCAGGATTTTTTTTGCTTCACTTGTAGAAACAGTTACTCACTATAACTATTATGTGGAAAGTTCGAAACTACTGTAATTCATGTTAACTTGTTTTGTTTACGCGCAGGACACGCGTGTCCCAAGAGAAATAAATGGGTTATAACGATAGTGATTTGCTTTTCTGGAAAAAAATACAAAATAAAGTGTTGTTTGGATGTAATCTTTTACGAATGTAAGTGATTATGTAAAATATTATGAATGTCAAAGAATTTCCTTAAAATTTCCTTAAAAAATTCGTTTCCTTAAAAATTTCCCTAAACTGGTTCAAATTTCCTCAGTTTAAGGAAATTTCCTTAAAAGTGAGAACGCTGA